CGAGCATAAAATTATAGCTCTATATTAATATAATATTAAATAAGATTCCTTAATTCTTTCCTTTAATAAAAACTTTAAGGTAATTAATCTCATAGTTAATAACTCTATTATTATAATTAAAAGGTTTTCCTTCGAGGTTATATACTATATAGGGTTCTTATCTATACCTCTATAGTAGCTTAAGCTTATTTACTACTATTAGGCTAAAATAATTCTACTTAGCTCTGCTATCTACTAAAGTATTTAACTATTATCCCTTAACTTATACTTTTAATTCTAGGTATTATCGCCTATATCCTCTGTCTATAGAGTAGAGGGCCTTCTAAGGTAATTTATCCCCTTATTTATCTATCTATTACCCTATATTAGATAAGGTATCTAGTTTTTTAATATTCGCATAGCATAGCTAAAGTAATTAAATTTATATTTGTTATCTATATATACTTTATAGTTATAGTTATTCCTTATACTATCTTACTATTCCTAGAAGCTATCTTCTACTACCTAGTTAGCCTTATCATAGTAGCGATAGTTACTAGTAGTTTCTATAGGGTAGATCCTATTAAGGTCTCCCCTTCTAATATAATTAGCATAGTCTTATAGGAGCTAATTAGTGGGTCCTTAGTCCCTTCCGAGGTATATTCTAACTTCCTCGTTCTATTATTTATTATCTTCTTTTCCTTTATAGGTAAGGAAATTAAATCCTTCCTTAGCTATTTATTCGATCCTATTATAAGTAGCTAAGATATATTATTTATATCTTAGGCATATATTATTATTATATAATATAATTTTAGCGTTATTATATTCTCTTATTAGGGTTTCTATTTACTCGGTTATAATTCTCTAAGTAGCGATTATTAGCTATCGCTCTATACTAATAGATCCGTCCTTAGTCGGCTAGAAATATAGCTATACGACGCCTATCCCCTTATACTATTATTCCGATATATATTAAAACGTTTTATAGGCGAGGTAGGGTTATATATTAGGATCCTTAAGTTAGACTAGGAAATAATTATTCCGCTCTTTAATTTCTAAATAAATAGTATAGCGATAGTCCCTACAAGAGATCTATAAGATTTCTTTATGCCTAGGATATATACATATTATTCATACGTCATCTCATAGGTCATAGCATACTTCTAATTATCTCGGGTTTATAGCGATATCTACGTAATAAGCGCATATATAGATATCATTAGCGTTATCAGTATCTTACTTTTCCCTAGCTAGCTAGATATACTTATCTTCCTTCTCTAGCTAGTAGCGTAATCTAGTTTCTTCTTTAACTATGATTTTATAGTCTATTTCCCACTTTGCTTCCAGGGGGTTACTTTATTATCGGCGAATATATACTACGTCTAATTCCCATCGAGCCTATGCTCCACTAGCATAGCCGGGGTTCTTATAGTATTAATTAGGTCATCGCGATAACTCTCCCTATTATCCCTCTAGGACCTCTTATTACTCCTTGCCTTACTTATATCGCCCTTATCGAATAACTATGATAATTTTAGTATTTAATTTAGTAATAACTTTAATAATCGGCTCTAATAATAGCTCCCATTCTAGTTATATCTTAATATAATCCGTGAGGTTTATATAATTAAGTTTCCGGGGCTAGGTTATCTAATATACTCGGTCCTACTTATTATTCTAGGTAACCTTATTTTCCCTAGCCTATCCTTCCGTGAGGTAGGCTTATTAATATAATATATTAATTTAGTTAGGTATAGCTCTAGTCTAGTCATAGCCGGCTCGTGCTATACCGAGTATCTTTATTATCTAAAGGGCTATCTATAGCTTATTATTAATTTACATAAATCTTATTTATTTCTTACCTTCCGGAAGTTATTATTATTATCTAGGCTTATATTATCCTTCCTAAATATCTTATTACTTCCTCCTATACTTATTAGCCTTATAGCCTTTCTTATAGTAATAATAATATTCGATAGTTAAGGTTTTTTATTATATAGCGCTAAGCTATATAGGTCCGGGATAAATTCCATAGGATATATCGGTTCGCGCGTATCCCTAATTAGCATTAAACCGGGGGGTATTAGCTTTACTACTCCCATATTTAAGGTTCTATAACTTCTTCTAAGAGAACTACTAGTTATTAATCTAAACCACCCTACTAATATAGTCGACGAGATTATTAGGTTAATCTTCCTTATAGAATTCTCCCTATATATCTTTCTTAAGTCTATCGAAGAAAAAAGATATTAGTAGTTCTTAGTCCTAATTAAGCTTCGAGGTAAGCTAAAAGTACTTAGTGCTATACTCCGATATAAAGTAAGTTTATCGCAGTACTTTAATCTCTCTTTTTGCCTAGGCTTTTTTATCTATTATTCTAAAAGCTTATTAGAGTATAGCCTCGAAGGCCTTAAAGTTAGAATAAAGGTTTATAATTTAAGGGGAGAGTTTAATAAATAGTTTAGTAAGGTATTCCTTTATAATAGGTTCAAACTAGGCCGCAGCGTATTTAATAAATCGCCTAGCGGCATACTAGACCTTATTAGATGCTATAGTAAACTATATAGGGTAATAGACTATAAAAGCGCGTAGCTATATAAGGAATATAGGCAGTTTATACGCAGTTTTATTAAATTTCTCTAGGGGGTCTAGCTTTAGGATTTCTCCTATATCTTTACCTCGCATAGCTATAATAGCTAGGTTAATAAGGCTTTAGACTCTATTAAGGTACTATATATTCTAAATATATTAGGTTTCGCCTATCCTTTTAATAAGGTCGCAGAGCCTATCTATCTTAATACTCATAGTAGTAATCTAGGCCCAGAGCTACTTAATTTCTTCGTTATTAGAGCTTTCTATATTATCTATATCCTTATCCTTAGCGTTAGCTAGGGTAGGCACTATAGGTATAGGGGGATAATTAATAAGTAAGACCTACTAATAGTTATTACTAGGAGTAGCCTAAATAGCTATTACGTTTAATATTATTTAAGGTAATACGAGTAATCCTCTAAATAAGAGCTATTAATATATAATAATTATAGGGTTCCTAAGGGATAAACTAGTTATATTAGGTTTATATTAATAGAGGAGAATATTACGTAGCCTTAAAGGTAATATAAGTCACATCTAGTAATATACTCAAAGGTATTAAATATAACTAAGTTATATTAATAACTAAGGTAGCTAGTATATAAGAGAATATAATAAGTATATCCTATATACTATCTAGTCCCTTAAGTCAATCGAAGTCGAGTCGAGTCGAGTCATCGACGTTCGACTTATATTATCGAGGGAAGTTAAACCGACTCTATTCGACTTATATACCTTCCTTCCTTATGATTAGCTAACGTAGTGGAGTCGATTTCCTGCCTAGCGTTACCGCCTTCGACCATGTCATGGCCGTGACAAATACTTGCCTATTAGAGTATAAGATTAGTTTATAGAGGCCTTACTATTAATTAATAGTATAGTATTACGACCTAATATATACCTAACCTCCGAGTATATATAACTACCCTATACTAAGAGAATAATATTAATTAAGGAAAGATTATACTTAAGGTTAAATTACTATAATCTAAGGATTACTATAATCTAAGGATTACTATAATCTAAGGATTACTATAATCTAAGAATTACTATAATCTAAGGATTATTATAATCCTATATTAATAATAATCCCTTTATAAATTAACTTAATATATAATATATACTTATATATGCTTTCTTATCTATTAGCTACCTTAGCTATTAATATAACTTAGTTATGTGACGGCAGTCACAGCTATGGGCACCTTAGCCACTGCGCCACGGGGCAAAAGATTGGGCCATAATCGCTATTGCAGCAATTACAGAAGGTGCTTCAACTGCCTATAGGGCTTTAATCGCTGCTACGGGGGACCAAGCCGTAACAAGTTATATTTAATACCTTTAAGTATATTACTAGATATAATTTATATTACTCTTTAAGGCTATATAATATTCTCTTCTATTAATATAAACCTAATATAACTAATTTATCCCTTAGGAATCCTATAATTATTATATATTAATAGCTTTTATTTAGAGGATTATTTATATTATATTAAATAATACTAAATATAATAGCTACTTAGGTTATTCTTAGTAATTATTACTAGTAGGTCTTATTTATTAATTATTTATTTATTTTTATTACGCTTATTTAAGTTAATCTTAACAGAAATAAGGAAATAAATAATAATAATAAGGAAATTAAATAACTCTATGCCTAGGTTATTATTATAATTATTAAGGTAAAAGAGCTTAGAGGACTTATTAACCGCATAATAATTACTTAGTAAGCCTAGAGTTAATAATACTATAATAATATTTAGATTATTAATAATATAATAATCGCTATTATAAAGGGTAAGGATATTAGAGAAATCTTAAAGCTAGAATAATTAAAAAAGTTTAATAATACTATATATAAGCTACTTATATATTTTATATAGCTATATAAATTTATAATCTATTACTTAATATAATTTATTATAATATTTAGTAAGGTTTAATATATTACTAAGTAACTTATTAAATATATTATAGCTTAGTTTAAACCTATTATAAAAGAATACCTTATTAAATTATTTAATAAATACTTACCTTAAATTATAAGCCTTTATTTAAACTTTAAAACCTTTAAAGCTATATTTTAATAGGCTTTTAGGATAATTAAGAAGAAAGCCTAGGTAAAAAGAGAAATTAAGGCGCTATAATAAATATAATCTATATTAGAATATAGTATCTTATATACCCTCTATGCTAGTCAATACTCGTCTCTAGCATTTAAGCGGTGCAAAGGCCCGTGGGCTACCTGAGGACCCTTCTACCTGAGCAAGAATGCCTCTAGTACGTTGCTGGTATACTTGAGTGTACTCGACTGGATGCTACTAAGTACTTTCATCGTCGCCCTGTGGAAGCAGGTACCCCCCAAGCCTAAGAGAGCTAGCTTGCTCGTACCAAGCTTGCTTTAAGGTTTGTACTGCGTGAGTCTAGGTTGTTTGTTTCCGAGTCGCAGTGAAGGTGCCTTCAACAAGCAGTCTGATCCGTGAGTGACTCCCGAGTGGCGTCGTGACCCTAGGAATGGCAGCAAACACGCATTGCAGTTGGCGATTGGAAGAGCCAATCGATCGATCGAGGAGCAGATAGGTGCGCTTGGGGGGCTGAACGGCTGTGTAAATAAGTTTGGCTTCGCCTTTTCCATTCTCCCGCGAGGAGAGGCGGTGCTGGCGGTGTCCAGGCAAATAAGCCGACTGAGGGCTCATATAACCAATAATAACCGCCTAGTATTAATATCTAGTCTAAGAGATGCATGGAATCTAAGTAGAACCGGGAGAAATTTTCAGATATTTCATATAATAATCTCAGGTACTAACACTCAATGAAGAAACACTGCTAAGTATACGCCTCTTAATCTTTGACCTGCCTACCGCCTTAGTCGATCTCCCTGTAAAGCGGACCCCTGCTGCATGTAACATGTCCATGATCGTTGGCTATATACGGGAGGTCTTCCCATATGATAGCTAGATGTATCTTTAACTCTGCTTTCTATGGAAACTGCGTTGCATCAGTTACTGTAGAGTGATAAGAGGATGTCTGTTGCCCAGTCCGGGCATGCTCGATGAGGTACCTGGGTTAATATTACGCTTATAAGACCTTTCGTCTTCTTATTTCTATGTGCTTTCGGATCAAATGTGTAGAAAGGTCGGCTCGTTGGTGAAGTGAGAAGACTGTTGTATGTGTCAGGTTTGAACATGGCTTGGATAGGATCCATTTGGGGTTCATCGAATTTTGTTCCGAAGAATTAAATAATTCTATAATCGAGATCGGGAAACTAACCAATGCTTAACTATGCAGTGCTCAAAGTAGTCCGAGATAACCGAGCTAGAAGACCGATAGCTTGGCTCATCTCATAAGATATAGCTGAGATGTGGTTACATACCATGTTTGAGGCATCATGGAATCGAGCCAGGACTCTGAAGAGGTATCCATGTATGTAGTCAGTCGCCCCTCCACGGTCTTCTGGACATTTTGAAATTTTCTGAAGTTGGACAGGTATTTGGTGGTACGAATGATCTCGATGGAGCGTACTATGGTATATGTAATCGGGCGTTTTATCATCTTCATCAACGAGGGACAGCATCTGATCTTTCTGCTCGTGCGCCTTGTTTACCTACTACATCGATCACTCTCTACCTGGGTACTGCTCTCAATTGTGTTTTGACCCTTGGAATGTATTTAATATAAGGAGTCCAAGCAACATTTTATTGCTCTGGCTATGGCCCAGACTTGTCTATTAACGCTTCCATTCCGTCCTCGAAGCAAGTATTGAAGTATTCCTAACAATAGTAACAGTATTCATTACCTTGTTTGGGATCGCTTCTTATCTTGAACCTTGGAAAGCTGGTATATGATGTAATTTTCATTTAATGCCTTAGGGAGCACGGCTTTCAGAGGCTTGGAGGAGGTATGATCTTTGGCTGGGACATCTTGGAGGGGTATCGAAAGGATAGTCAGCTTCAAATTAATTCAACATAAGACATCTGTTCTCGCTCCCACAATAGTGACCCGGAAAGAAACCTAGAACCAGTATTTGTTAGTCTTCTTTTGGGCGGTTGCCATTCTGCAACCAGACTTACCTGGCGATAACTACGGGAGGAGCCATAGGCCATCAATACCTTCCATGTTCACAACACTTGATTACTGATTCACTACTTGGTGCATGACTACTGGTACTCGTCCCCCAACCTCGTATCTACATTAAACCAAACATCATCACCGTTTTTGTTCGACTTGGTATACCAACATCAGCCTTTCATCCCATCATCTAGATATCGCACCAATCATCCATCTCAATAGTCTCAATTTTCATCCCAACTCGTCATTATACGATCATGTCATCCGACAATTCTGATCTGGCCCGTCTTTCACAGACCCTTAACATTGATCTTGACACCCCTGCTATGCGCGCACGCGATTTGACTGTCGACCTTCTCGAGCCATGCACCCCTGAAGCCTACCGACAAGCAGTGCACTATCAGATTACTGAGATAGTGAAGATTAATCGACCAAAGAAGATACCAAAGCCCGGCAATCAATGGTATCTGCAAGAGATGGAGGTCCAACATGATAAATATACACTTTGGACTCAATTGCAAGACGAACAGGCTGAGGAATTTTGGTGGTTTTTGCCTTGGCTGTTTGGCCAAGAAGCTCCAAGAGACTGGGAACGTTTCTTTGTGTGGTTCCAGCAAAAGTTGACCGAGCCAGTCGCCAACCTCGCTGCGGTTAGGGCTCTCTTGGCCATGGCAAAGGAACTCGTCTTTGTGACCTTGATGTAAGTCAGCAGCTATCTAGATGCCCCTAAGCAAATACTGATATATTTACAGGAACGCCAAACACCGAAACATCTACCTTGAGCGATACCCATTTGCGTATGATACCATCGAGGACCGTTACACCCACGAGCTTTGGGTTGCAGAAGCCAGGCAGCGGGCCGCCAACTAGGAACGAACAGTGGAGATGCTAGACAGTCGGGAACATGAGCTATGGAGCAGTGCTTAAAGTATACTTGGGCAGTAGTAGAGCCATTAGTTGATTTTGCGCAGGGGCTTAATTAAACCAAGTATCTATTCATATTAAAGTCTACTGTGAACAATGCGATGTTACAGACCAGGAAGAGGGGTAGCCTTTGAATAGCTAACCCTAACCCCAATAACTAAAGTCCGTTTGTGATCGCTTCCAAAGATGATAATGCGAAATGGTGCGATCGAACTCCTGGGCCCAGCCCGACATGCTAGTCTAACCCTGTTAATGCCCATAGCACGTCACCGTGTCACCACGTTATGGCTTTTCAAAGAAACGCGGGACATTACGCCGGTTACCCGTCACATTAGCAACCAGTTCTCTGGTATCCGTATCTTCCTCGTGCTGCTCGAATGGATGATCCAGGGTCCGTCCAGACCAGTAATCTTGCCACTTCTGTGACCTCCGCCTATCTCGTTGATGGGCTAGGGCTGCTATATTTTTAGTCGACTCCTCTTCACTCACAAGCTCGTTCCATGACGGAAGAAGGGGGCTTGGGATAGTGGACATTCTAGAGTCATCGAAGAATACCCAGGCTCGTTGACGGAAAATCTTGAGCTGCATATTATGGATGCGAAATTGTCGGATCTGCTGCTCAATATCCATTTCTGGAAGAGGCGAATACATGACGCCAGGTATGAACCTGAACGAATCGATGTAACACTCCATCCGCATTTGCCAATCCCAGATATCCGTATCATCAACACTTAGGGATTTGCGACGCCCAACGAAGTGGGGATTTGATGTCCAAGGTGTACAATCCGTAGAATATTGGTACGAAAGAGCATCGAACCACTTCCTGAGGTATTGACCATTCGTGCCATCCGTTGCCAGAGATATAAGTACAGAGCTGAGCAGGTCAAATCCAAGACAAGGAAGGATGTCTCTCACCATCCCATTCATTAAGCCGCATGAGTACTGCTGCATGTCGAAGTAGACATTGTCAGGGAAGAGCAGTCCGTAGTTTTTGCAAGAGGCAAGGGTCTCAGGCTCGACCTCGACTGTTTGATTGACGGTGGCAACATTGAATTCTGAACAAGTCGGCCGATCTGGAAACCAGGAGTCCTGGCATTGAGCAAAAACAGCACCATAGAGGCTCTTCAGGTATTCGTGAACACAATAGAGTGCCTCATAGTCTTTGAGACTGAGCCTTTCATGTGAGCTGGTGACGATATCCGCATATGTAGTTCCCTCCAAGTAGGGCCATACTTTCGGGTGGTAGACCTTGCAGAGGAGCTCGTACCTCACGAAAGCCTGCAGGAGGCGACGCCTCTCAGGTTCCCTCATGGCACCAAAAGCCACAGGCTCGACATCAACATCTCGACCTTTGAAATGCATTCTGGGGACGATTGACGAAATTTCCGGGAGCGCCATACAAGCTCGGGCAGGAAATAGATCCAAGGACTTTGCAAGATAATCTTCGATGAATGTGGTTAGCCGAGAGAAGAAGCGGTAGAGTTTGGAAATGTTTTCTGCGTCGTACTGCCTTGAATACTCCGGAAAACGATGGTCTTTCCATGAGCCGAGACATCGGGTAATGGCGAGCATAGATGTCGGGGATACGGGCGAGTTAGTGTCGATAGGGGGAAAGTGAATGACTGCTTGAGCATCTTGGATAATACATCCATCACAGTCAATAGCAAGAATCTCAGCAATTCTATGTCGCATGATACTCCGACGGTACTGAACGTAGTGTCGAAGTGCTTCTGGCGATGCTCGTATAAGTTGCAGAATATCTCTTTCGGACTGGATTTGAGCGAAAATATGGGTAAGTACCAATGATGGCATCTTAGAAAAGACGTCCATTTTGCTCGTGTTGAAAATCAGATAGCGATAAGGGTGAATTCGTGCAAGGAGAAACTTTGATCTGACAGGTGTGTAAGAAAATGAGAGATGGAACTGCGAGAGTCTGGGGGACCAGGTGTTTTATATGTTTTAAACAAACCTTAAGCCTCTTAGCGAGCCATCACAATTTCTTTCTTGGACCTCGGCTTTATTAATGGTTTGAGTTCTGCAACTGCAGCACTCAACTTTCTGTTATAATAAGCTTTAGTAAAACAGTTAGAGTTAAAGCCGTGAAGACGCCCGGATCGTGAGGAGTGCAGACTGGCTGTTCTTGAAACTGAGCTAGATACTTAGCAGCGGTACAGCTGGACGTCGCGATACCTGAGAACAACAGCAGAGGAATGAAGCCTTACTCATATCTAGGGGATGTTTAGAAGCCACGAATGCAAACCGTCATAGCTGACGAATGCAAGAAGAAGACTTGGCTTCAAAGGCACTCGCCAAACGCAGATTTTCTCACACTACCAAGGCCATACCCAATGCATAGCGTGAATGGCATTACTAACCAAAAAAAGTAAGACACACTCCTAGAATACTACACTCTAAATAACCTTTATTAGTCAGAAAGCAAGCGCGTTGTACGTTATGATGGCTCGTGCCTCCACGAATCTAGCCAACCTGGATCCTTGATCAGGATCACCAGCCAGGATTGCAATGGCCGAAAGCTGAAGACACCCCAACACGGATTTGTGATCATTGCTAGTAATTTATTTACTTAGTAACTTCGTTCATTCGCATAAGAAACCTTGCAGTGCCCGTGACTGAATATGGGTGTACCTCTTTTTCCGTAATCACTTGGGTCAACGCACGTGCTTCCTCAACATCACTCGTAACAAGGATCTTAGAAGAACCTTTGTTAAGGCTATCATAGCATCATTTATTATAGTTGTAAGCGTCATCGACTTATTACTGTATTATTGAGGCTTAGGTATAAGCTTTTGTTGTGTTACGGTTGTATTATCTTTGTTGAATTGCTCCGAGGCCTCCGCCCCCTGGCCTTATGCAGCCTTTTGACCAAGTAAAGACCAGCGAACATCGCCATAGCTCCAATTTTGCAGCATTGCTAAGCTCTCTGTCCCGATATCAACACAGACATGGGAATCCGGTCTCCTGGGCTTAGGAGATAGACCTGAACTACTGTTTCAAACTATAGCCTAGCACGCTGGTGATGTTGATACGCGTATCTGCCCCTCTTTAGGATCTTTCACCCAGAGCGCCTCAGGATCACCGGCCCAATTCCACGTATCGTATCTGTTTGCCATGGGGAAGGTCACACCGGCCGAAAGGAAGTCATGCCGGATGCTAGGCCTCATGGTTGGGCTGCCGTTCTCGGGCTCGAGATGCGCTGTACCGGCGAATTCCATCGTGCGGTTGATGAGCGCCTCAAGCACGTCTCTATGCTTTTTCAGGCCGGGTGTTCGCTCGGTCATGACGAACATTGTTGAAGCACAGCGCTTAAATAGTTAACAACGGCAACGGAGAACAGCGGTGGATCTATAGAGAGGCAGTAGCTGGCAAATGTTTAGTACGCAACGGGTGTTATAGCTAGCAAAAGGCCTTACCAGATAGTCACACCACTCAAAAAGACGTACTGTGAAGATACAAATGAGTGAGCGTAAGAGGAATGGTGGTGAGGTCTCTTGAGGAGATGGAAGGTCTGGCCACATGCCTCTAAACACCGCTTGATAAGAGGCTCGCCAGGTCGAAAAGTGCCGAGGAAAGGTCTTGGGAGGAGCGAAATTGCTGTGAAGTATTGCAGATTGAGAAAGTCCGCCTCCGCCTCCGGAAAGTATGGCAGCGAGAATTTACAATGTTCCAGCGAAGCGAACAATGGCTCGACCTGTAGGAACAGAGTCTCCTGGGGTTCGTCGAGAGAGTACACCTCTGTCTTGATGCGGGAGTGCAAGCGCACCATCTGCATGACTTTAATCCCAAGCTTAGACGATGACTTCCTGAGAACATTCCTGTCTGAGCCTGTGTCATCGCTGCTTGGCTGGGCCGTAAATCCAATATCGTAGGCAAGGCCACCCGTCTCTGATGGTGGAGTTGGGTCAATATCCCTGTCGGCGACACTGAATGGCCTGCTCAGTGCTATGGATACGCCACGCTCGAGGGAGTACACACTCCAAAACAGAATGCATTGTCTCTCGGCATCGTCAGCAGCTAAGCCATGGTAATGTGACTTTCGATGCAGCCGAAGATCAATGCATTTGCGCATGGCAAGTCGGATTAAATCCCATGTGCTTGGGCTAAAGGGAGATCACAGGCTGTATAAGATGAGTAGCACCATCACTTCGAGATTATCAAGTGCGTGACATTGTCTTGCTGCGGCGATATACTGGAGGCAGTATTTGACGAATCTCTTTGGCTGAGGGCCTGCATATGGCTCGGCGAGCTGGACCAAGGTTGCGCCTATGGCATACACCAAGTATAGTTTGAAGTTGCCCAACTTTTCGGTAAGATCTGAAGTGACGGGATTGAACCGTTAGGAACGGGTACCGAGGGTGAAACCGATCGAAGAAGGCACGAAGAACGCGCAGCCCGGTCTCGTCAGTCGGAGGCGCTCTACCGCGTTGCTTAGGATGCTCATGGAACTCATCCATGGAGCTCAGCATCTGGTCGTCATCCCCAACTGATGAAAGTGCTCGGCGCAGGGCGGACGTGTGGGCGGCGAAATCAATCCCAACCAGAACGGGCAAACTGTTGACAGGTGTATTAAGCAGCCCAGGCGTGGCAGCAAAACTCTCATCAGTCGCGTATCGGCTCGGATCTGGATTTGACCTTGGACCTGGAGAGTCTTGAGCTGATGCTCTCATGCTTCGGTGCGCGTCACTAGCACCCCCGGCCAAGTCCACCCAAGATGCCACCCGTGAATGTTCAGTACCCCCGAGGGCACCGTTGCCCTGGTCTGGTCCGGCTCCGACTGCCCGGGATCCGATTGCTCGTGCTCTGATTGCTCCCCCGAGGTCCTTCGCTCCCCTTGCACCTTGGACAATTCTGCTAAAGCATCGGCAAGTTGTGACTCCAGAGCTTGTATGCGCTTTGCAGGTTGGGGATTGCGACGATGGAGTTCGATTGAGAATTTCGTTCGTTCGTTCGCAAAGTGCCTTGACTCGGGCGCAGTTGGTGCAAATTGGGAATCCATGGCAGCGCTGCTTTCGACCATGGCAACGCTTACAGGACTTGACGCGGCGGCGATCATCAGTGCTCAGCTGGTCGGTCATGATGAACAAAATATCCGACGAGACCAAGTGGATGTTTCGAGTGCAACAAACTCCAGGGATGCCCTGGCGAACCTTTCAAGTCATCAAGACTGGCTTGTTACTCCTTGGTGGTGAAATAAATGAACACTACCGGCCGGTCCCCTAACTACTTTGTGGCCAAGTGCCTCGGAGTCGAGCTCGTTATCAACGAACCCAAAGTAATTAGTCTAATCATCCAACGGTATCAATGGAGCTCGCCTTTATCGGCAGGATCAACGGGAATGCTGCAAACAGAGAGAATATGCTCTAGATTCCGCCTCAGACCAAAGTCGATGTGAGGGGCGTTCGTAAAACATTGTGCTTCATAGCATTCTTGCCGCAACTTTTGCATTGCGCTGTCATAGTCCTGCAAAGAAACAGGGGCATTGACGAGCAGGCTCTCCGGGAAAAGTGGCTCGCGTAGCTTGTGTAGCTTGAGTGTGTATGCAATTGCAATGGTGAACTTGCCCTGTGTTCGGAAGCTACTCGACGCGTCGTCGCTCCACTGCAACTGGCAATCGCCGTCGTTCTTCTTTCTCAAATTTGAGGCATTCTCCTCTTTGGCTCCTGGGCCCATGCTATGACTTCGAACGAGGAATCCTTGGTCAGAAACTTGGGTGGCATACGACGGGTCACTCGGATTAGCCTCGTTGAACCCATTTTCGTGGCTGATAAAGTCAAGATCTCGGATAAGGAGATCTTTCTTGGCCGACATCTCTGGAAGATCTCGAGGTCTCTTTGAGCGACTGAAATCGAATTCAAATTTCTGGAAGATAATGCCATGCCATCCGATACCAGGTATTGTGTCGCCATAACGACACCGTCGTCCGTTTTTATTGTAAAGCGTGGCCAACGATGGTGAACGAATTCTGGGGGTTGCAAATCCTCAAACGAGACGTTTAGCCAAGGAACTCATAGAGACAAAGGGGAAGAGCAGTTGAAATTTCGGGCGGGAAGATGAATACAAAACACGATGGGGTGACATACTCCCGAGATGAATCCGTTTCCAATTAAGAGAGTAGATATGAACCAAATTATCACCCAGTTCCTCTCACTTGACCTATCTATATGCATCTGCAACAGGGATACACGATCAGATACGGCCCGGACTTGGATGACCTGGAACCGGACCCAAGCAGCGACAACATAGAAATGAGAGACCAAAGCTACCGGACACGGAGGTGGGAGCTTCTGGTGGCGCAGTACTCAGCCTGCGACCTCACCAAGCCCCAGGACAAGCTAATTGTCCTCTCAGGAGTTGCCAACTTGTTTCGTTTCGCAACGTCACTGGGGACCAATATGTCGCTGGACTGTGGCGATCGGCGCTGCCCAGACTGCTCTGTTGGCAACGACATACCTCCGATGAAACCCGAGAGGCAAGGCGAGCCCGGCCTGCTGGTTACCGCGCACCGTCATGGCCCTGGGCCTCGATTGATGACCCTGTATCCTACCCCTCGTGGGAATATCATCACATAGGATCTAGGTCCATACTCCTCTTGGAAGACCTTATCGAGATCACCAACGTGGATATTGTTGACTATCTCGGGAGGGTTCGGTGGCCCTGATATAGCGGTTAAGAAGTCTTGGTTACACTGCCTAGTGGCTGTATCCAGAGGTGTCTCTTTGTCCTCGTCCGTATCAAGGAGACGGCGCAAGCCATCCTGGTCAATCAACTTTCGAATCAGGTGCAGCTGACTCGGCCTCGCATCAGAAGCTAGGTAATGCAGGAAGTTCTTGCCTTTCCTGGTTACATTTGTTTCAAGTTCAGGCCCATATTCATTGACCAGCTGCTTGACTGTTTTGGTGGCATCCTCCTGCTTGGGAGAGTTTCCCTTGTCATCTTTCTTGTTCAGCTTTTCCGTGACTTGATCGAAAAACTGCTCAAAAAAGTAAACGCCGGATCTCTGGGGCTATGACTAGGCTCGGAGGGCTCAGGCACGGCTGATTGCATTGATGTCTGTGCAGGTGGTGTTCCATGGTTGTGGTCCGCTGGTCTTGCTTCTAGCTGGTGCTTTGGGAGGAGAGGAGACAGGCCGAGCAGCTTTTTCGAACGGAACATTAGTCTTCTTGAAGCGGACAATCGAAGATGGTAACTTCCTCAGCCCCCACCGGATTGCTGCGACTGCTGAAGGATGTGTTGCCAAGTTATGCAAGTTCCTACTAGTAGGCAACTTACATTTCAGTCAGCTGACGTGTCAATGGACCAAACTGCTAGGTCGACCAAGCTGATTCGTCACGGTTGGTAAAGGCGGCACCTCTGTGTCATCAGTTGTCAGCACAGCACCGAAAACATCAGACCTGTCCAGCTAGTCAAAGAGACAAACGAAATGCCAAAATATAGCTAAGGGCTAGGCGGGATCACATCATGTTTTACCGAAGCTAGCAAAATCGTATCCAGTACGTTACCTGGTTCCTTCTCGTGCAGCTGATCAGTTTCCTTCTGTTCTCCCGTTAACCTCGCTCTTCACCGACTCCGTGTCTTCACCATGGAGTCCAACTACGACGATGTCGACTTGGCGTATCAGCCTGTTGGGAATGATAATGAAGCCCTTGCTTCATTTAACCTTCCCATGTTCATCAACGGCGATGATAACAACATCTTCCACACAAAGAACGCGTCCATGAGCGACTGGAATAGACGCATTGTAACGGAACGCCTCACTAAGGCCACATAAATACAGTGTTCCTTACTCGAAGTTCTATACAGCACACTTGACGATAGCCCCAAATCAACGTCAGCCACTCTTTTGGTTCTCAAGTTCCGATTCGCGACCATCAAGCATCGGCGTCGACTCGTCCGCGCTCGCATCAGCATTGAGTTCTTCTCCAAGGACCCCGAAGTTGCCGCACCAACCGTTCTGGCCATTGGCTTTGATTACCGCTGGGCTGTCGAGCCGACGGTCGATCATGACGACTCCGTTGCTGGGGGGAAAATGAATGTTGGAGTTCCAGGCATACCATTCGTCGAAGCAACGGTAGCGGCGTCGACGGAAAAGACTCGTAGCAGAGACAGACAAGATGCAACCACCATCACAGGAAGCACACACTTTGGCAAAGGCCTCGATACGGGTAACCATACAGCATGCTCCTGGACCCTCTTGGAGAACAAGACACGGAAGAACGCTTCCCCCAACCAAGAAACTCCCCGGGCCAACTCCTCCACCAGCTAGGGCATCGGAAGTCACCTCAGTGGACGGCACTATTCCGCCGGATCCATCCCTCGCCGAAAGAACAAGATCATCCAGACCAGGTAATCATCGTTATTTCTAGAGTGGATTCGCGAGTTCTCAACGACCGCCAGCGCGTATCGATCGACAGCCAAGTCAGGAGCACGAGGAGGAGCTCGAGGAGGGAGCTAGATTGCCTGATAGGAGGTGGTCGGGTCCGGAACAGCGGAAGCTGGGGCTAGTTCGTGGAGCTGATGGGCGGGCGTCATCTATTGGGCGAGAAGTAAAACTTCTTAGTCGTAAAATTAATACTGCGAGTCAGTCACATCTCTGGATCTCGCACTAGTTGTCCCAGTATCTTGTAGAGGTTGACAACTGAGCGTTGATTGCGGTGTCGGAGCTGGAAACCCGATGAACTCCGCCGTCGGAGAGATTGCACCGAGTCAACCGAAAGACTCCGTGACTAGTGAAGTCTGATGTGGAGTAGAGTGATCGTGGAACATGGCATTCATCGGATATCACAACCCTGCCTATTACACGTGAATATCACTGCAACTCTGACACATGCTGATAGTCGAAGAGCACCGCGGACTTCATTCAAGTCGTGACTACGTCTATGCCAAGTGAGATGGAACATGCTTAAACTCACCATATCGCAGTGTATTCTTTGTGACTGGTACATCTCCAAGCTGCCTATTTTTATTCTCTTCACTTGAGCTCGAAGCCAAACTAACGCTCGTCATAAATCATGCGTCTCGGATCCCCGATAGCCAGAGCGCTCGCCATGCGCGATGACTCACTGGCCAAGATCTCACCACCGCTGAAGCTCGGAGATCTGCCGGATCCGCTTCCATCAAACGTCTGCGCAGTTCGACATGTAGTACTTGAACCGGAGGAGATTGAGATTACATCTCTTGACGCGGAAGAGATCTTGGCAGCAATCAGGTCCAAGAAATACTCATGCGTCACTGTCACCAAAGCGTTCCTCCGTGCCGCGGCACTGGCTCAAGTTCTGGTAAGACGCCGATTCATTCTTGGTATGGAAATTGTTCTCATCGATACAGACGAATTGCATCACAGAGTTGCTTCCTGAAATGGCTTTAGAGCGAGCAGCCCTTCTTGACGCTCTGCCAGAGCCACTTGGCCCGCTTCATGGCTTGCCCATCTCTGTCAAAGAACACCACGGCATGTTTGGGCGAATGAAAACGTGTGGGATGGTTGCCTACATTGATGCACAGACTGTAAGTTTCGGAGCGTGTCCTATCTGGAATTGAAGCTGACACCTTCAAGTCAGGAGTAAGTGGTGTCAATGATGTTCTCTGGGCCAGTGGAGCTGTGTTCTACGCACGAACTACAATGCCACAGACCGGTATGCACCTAGAGACGTCCTCCAACATCTACGGAACGACGCTCAATCCCCGCAATGTTTCGTTGACTCCGGGCGGTAGCTCGGGTGGCGAGGCCGCTCTTGTAGCGTTCCGAGGAAGCGTCTTGGTAAGAGCTCTATTCCATGTCACCAACCCTGTGGCGAAATTTTCTAATCAACTCGAAAGGGTGTTGGAGGAGATAGTGGCGGATCGATTCGAGCTCCAGCTGGATGCACAGGCATATATGGGTTCAAGCCTTCCACGGGTCGGCTCAGTCGCCGTGGCGCAAGAGCTGTTCCTGGTGGCGACGGGTAAGTGGTTTTTCATCCATGGTATCGATCGTGTTTTATAAGTCCTCTAACATCTTGGTAGAATTGTTGGAGCTCATGGACCAATGTGTACCTCTCGCTCTGCGTTGTCCCTGTTCATGAGCACATACTGCAATGCCGAGCCGTGGCAGCAAGATCCCTCACTCGTTCCGTTGCCCTGGAGGGAAGTCAAGCTTCCCAGAAAACTCAAAATTGGAGTCATGTGGAACGACGGAATTGTCACGCCTCATCCTCCCGTTCGTCGAGCTCTCGAAGAAGTGACCAGCGCCCTTCGTGCGCATGGAGACCAATTCGAAGTGGTTCAGTGGATCCCTCTTAACCACTCAAGGGCCTACGAGATCTGCATGGGCTTGTACTTTGAAGACGGAGGGAAAGCCATTAAAAGAGTCCTCGAAGATGGCGGTGAAGAGCCTCGTCCTTTGACGCAGTGGATCTTCGACAATGAGCTTGTTAAAGACCGGACGAAGGAGGAAGTGTGGACAGTAAGTTTACCTCAGAAAATCGCCCTCCAAGAGAACCCCGTACTAAACTTACACGCACTAGTTGAAAGCCGAGAGGAATGAATATCGCCAGCAGTACAATGATCACTGGCTGGCAACTGCTGCCCCTGATGGCCATGCCGTCGACGCAATCCTCAGTCCCGTGAGCCCAAGTGCCGCGCCCCCCCACGGCACGAGCACATACTGGCTATACACAAGCCAGTGGAATCTGCTGGAATACCCTGCTGTTTGTTTCCCCGTCACCACCGTCGATCCTGCGAAGGATGTCAAAGACTGCGGGTATGTGCCGAAGAACCCTCGCGACAAGTACCAGCATGACCACTACAACCCAAAGACCTACGTGGACGCTCCAATTGGTCTTCAGATAATCACTCGAAAGTTTGAGGACGAAAAGTGTTTGGCAATCTTGGAGGCGATCGAGAAGGCAATGGGGAGAGAGTAATACCAGAGGACGCTCACGCTCATCGTGGAATCGTATAGGCCAGGTTGGAACCCAATGTCAAGCGCTTTCAAGTAGTAGCCTCCGATATGGTTGCATTTGAGTTACTGTGAGTGTCTAGACTATGAGACTCCCATACCGAAGCTTTCAGATCCTCCTCAGCCGTGGCATTGTATCTTCTCAATCAAGTTCCCCTAACTAGATTCTGTCCATGTCACTGTGGCCACAGTTGCGAGACACTCCGACAGCGACGCAGCCTCCAACACATCAGGAAAATCAGCCATTCCCATCCTCGGACGGCTCCCGGACGTCAGTTCCGTTGCCGTAGTGTTCCAACTACATGTTCATCTCCCCTGGTTGAGACGGTCTAATCAACTGACTAGTTCCAGATTAATGAGATCTACTATTATCTACCAGGTGAGCCTGGCCTTCATACGTCTTTCACTCCGAGTTGGGTCAGTTTCGGCAGCCAAGTATGTGGGTTCTTCAAGCCGGCGGCCAGAGTCGTTTATCGACAAACAACAAACTTCAGGCTTCAACAGTGAATAATGGCAACAGCCTTGATTCTTCAGGGCTACCTTATGTCTTCTCTTTTAGTAAAATTGATATAGATCTAAACATTTTGAAACGCGGCCGGATCCTCCAACACCCGCTTCACAATTTCTTGGTTGTATTCATCCGCATTCTCGTTGAAAACCTCCATGTACTCCGAGATGTGCTTAGGAAGTTGCTCAACGAGATTGTGCCTTGATGGAACGGGTTCTTGTAGGTGCTCGACCAACGGGATGTACCCCGACCAAACAGCCTTTCTCGTTTCAATGTTTTCTAGGTCCTCCTTCACCTCGGCAACGGGGCCCGCGCGAACCTTTGCGCTACCGCTTTGCACGCGGATACGTAGGACTTGGGTCTGCAATAGCTCATTAGGGGACGGGGGCTGGCGCACTTCTCCCCATCGTCCTGCGACGAGGCCGTTGGTGATGAGTTCCAACGCCCACAACTTCTCCTCGCTGTCCGTGACCAGACTCGCGTAGCCGAACAGGGAGGCCGAACGGTAATTGCAGGAGTGCGCAAAAGCACTCAGAGCGAGGGCGATGCCGTCCACCTTGGTAGCTGACACGCAGACGGGGAGGCCGGGTAGCCCCTCGGCCATCTTCTTTCTGGCGAGATTGGCCATGCGAGCTGAGATGTACCCGTGGATGTAACAGTCGAGAGGCTCGTCGATGTCGGCGCTGGGGCGATCAAAACTGCCCATGGCGCCAATCATGGGAATGACGGTTGGAAATTCAGTGTCTCCCGGTGTGAAGGCAACGTTTAAAGACATGCATTGGTTGACGATGCCATGGACGGTCTCGAGGTCGTAGTCTGCGCGTTTGTCGGCCAGTCGGTGGACCTTGTTGATATGTGTCTTTGGGTACTGCATTGTTTCCCACCAAGGCCTTGAATCCTTCCTTTCTCGAAAATGTAGCTGATGATGGCGAGGAATGGGACCCTTGGAATGCTGGGAAAATCGAGGTCTGGCGGCTGTCTTCAAAACGGAAGCCCTTATATATCTGCCAAAATTCGGATAGTGGACAACTCAAAAGACAGCTTAGGGGCGTCAGGACATGATATTCTGCTTTCAATTATATGCTGATGGTCAATCTGTGGCTACAATTTTAAAGGGCGCTTCCGTAGACAAGTCCTGGAGCTGGGCCGATTGTGTCCGATGGTTGCTACCAGTCTTGAGGCCATCGGCCTTTGTCGGACGTTCGCTAGGGTTATCGCCTACGACTAAGACGAATGACCGGCCGGCAATTAGTCAGGTCACCGTAGGATGTTCGTGGCAGTTGCAGGTCGGGAAAGTTCAAGTTGATTTACGTGCTGGGCGCGCTGATGGTGGAGAATCTTGATGCCGACGGCTATCCAAAGGTCAGAGGTTGTTCGTCTATCAAGTGATAGGGACGTATATTTGACTCCGGGTTGTTATCAAGTACATTTGCGTAGTCGGGGAACAGAAGTAAATCGCCCATCCCTTTGACCACGGGACGGGATGTCCCAGCAAAGTTGGTCAGTACTCACTCTCTGTCTCGATAGGGGGTCAGACCCTAGCAAATGTCCTGATCGAATGATACTCTCTGCTGATAGAGACACTGATTAATATACCTTTTCCTGGCTCGGGGGAAGTCTGGCATTCTCAGCCTAAATTCCAGTAGTCCAGAGCTGCAGACTCGAACCTGCTCCAGTCACAAGAGCTTTAGGCCTTCGGCACTGGCGTTACATCTACCCAAGTATAGTTGCAGGAACGAATAGAGCCAGGCTCTCACACGACGCATGCTGACGGTGCACAAGGCGATTATTCAGGATGCAACAGCCGCGCGACAAGGCACGGGATTCCGCATACTTTGTGTTTATTTATTCTTCCCACTCCAGTGTCCGCCACCACCTTTTCTCGCCCATGATGCCGATGGTTGTACCTTGTCTTCGCGAGGGGTGCCCTCCAATCAACAAGACCCGGCTGCCGACAGCGCACAAGACAAGAAAGCTTGTGTCTCAGACGCGGCTTGATAGGCGTATCATCCAGCCATGACATCGAAAGCCCCCGTTTGTCATGAACCTCAGCCGTCACCCAGAGCTTGGCTCATCTCCGACAGCATCGAAGCAACGTCGGGCGCGATGCCACACTCAATAATCTGCTGGACCATGCCAGAAATCTCCCTCCGAGACTCCTCATCTATTGTCCCAGGTGTGCAAGATCTCGAGATGCCGTTGGCCAACACGTCCAAGCAGTCACGGTAGACGTCCGCCTTTTCCGACCGATCAGCGAATATCGCAAGACTTGAGGCGAGATCGCGAATGGCGCGGTCGACGTTCTTGGGAATCGGGACGGCCCGACGGTAGACGATATATATCATAGTCACGCCGACTTGGAAGCTGAACAGCATCTAGTGGCAGGTCAGCAGCATACCTGGTGGCGAGCAAACCGGCTCGAGGTAACACGTACATCGCCCCAGTGCTTCGGGATCTGGCGCTTTTTCTGCAGCGCTCGGAATGTGCCGACAAAGTCACAGCAAGCCTGGAGTTTCTCATCGATGTATGGCGAGTCGATATCGGCAGGGTCCAGTCTGTAAAGGATCACCCGCGTGATGGCCGCGACATGGGTCAGCCCTAGAGAACTTGCGTATCCGTCGGTGTTGACACGACTGGAGAAATATCAGCGTGTATTCCCTTGCCATTGAGAATCCCCAACCTACCCATATCCGTACATCTGGCCATCATGTGACCACTGATCAATTGCGGCTCGAGTGTCTTTGGTGAACTCTGCTCTCGCTTCAGGGGCCATCGTTTGCGTGGCAGACAAGATTTTGGAATGAATTTGCCGTATGCGGCACATGTGAGCGTAATAGCTGAGGTTGAAATTATACGTTGAGCCGGTAGTCGCGCCGGGCACATCTGACGACCAAGGCATGATGTATCGAGGCTCGAGTCTGTCAACATATGCGGGCGTCGTGATCCATTCTTCGGGAGGGTAGGGAGGAATGCCGAGAGTGACAGCGACCACTTTATCTAGCCTTTTATAGTGTCAGAAGAAGATCAGGACGATAATTTGATATCAAGGCGTGGAGTATGGTGGCAGGCTTACATATAGATACACCACCAAGCTGTGATGGCCATGTCAGTCTCGGCGGTTCCGTCACGCACAAGACGGTGGAACCCTTTCATGACTGCGAAACGCATGGCCACTCCAATGATGTGTCCCAGTCGTGGAGTGCTTTCGCCGTGCATCGCGTGGATAGCGTGCAGAAGCATTGCTTGGAGGCGAACTAGAGGCTTGTATGAGTGATCCGTCAGTATGGTCCGGTCGGCCTGCGCTTGTAGCATTAGGTTGTGATGCTGCTGTCGCGTAGAGCCGTCGAGCTTTGCTTGAAGCAAAAGAGAGCCAATGGCGAAGATCTGTGCTGACATTAGATAGAGTTCTCGGTTGGGAAGAGGGAGAGACTGCTTCACGTGCCATTTTGACCAGGTAACATCTCCAGACATCAGTGCTTGACAGGGAGATTTCACCCATCCTCCAGTCCTGATACCCTCGGCTGCATTCTTCTATGTCGAGAAATGGATAACGTGGATGAATCGTTTCGAAATAGACGTTGAAAAATACGGCACCTTCGTGGAGGGACACCTCTGCAAACGTTGGAGCAGACCCCCGGCCCAGGACGTGTATTGGCATGGCCAGATCGCTTTGGGAGTTCGTACTTGTGTCGTGATTTGCCAAATCGCTGACGGAGAACAGGTTGTCGTCTGACTGTAGTATGTCCAGGCCATAGATGGTGTTGTTTGAGTTGTCTAAAGGGGCCATGAATGTCATTTCCGGCTGATCAGAACCACTTGGTGGGTTAAGAAACCCGTTGGTGATCTGGGGATCATCAATATGTCGAGAAGGACCATCTATCGACTGATCAAGTGACATTCCGGGAGTTGCCAGTGTCGCTCCATGCTGAAGATCCGAGATGCGTGCTTCGAGTGATTCGATGTATTGAACTGAGTACAGGGCCATGCGCTCGCGCTCAGCGGGAATACATTCTGCGCCGTGTCAGTACGATTTCAATTCCTCAATGAAAACATTCATTTCACAGATACAACTCCAATGCTTTGCTTGAATGCATCCGAACTATAGCAGCTTGGACCATGCCCTCCATATTCTTGAGCTAGAAGCCTGACAACTTGCATCATGTCCTTCTCAAGTAATACGAGGGTACTACTCGACGTTACACACGGATTGCTTTGACTGACCTTCATTGGCTGAGGCACAGTTTTGACAGTTTGGTGGGCCTTCACACCTTTGCTTCCTCGTCCGGCACCGTTGACATGCCTTTGCCTTTCTCGGCCGCGACAGGCCTGGTTTCTTTTGCCCTGATCGTGGTGAGGACTCGGATGTCGCTTCCATCTTTTGGACTCTTGCCATGGGATCGTGGGTGAACAAGGATTTTCTGTCGGAGTTGTACTATCCACTAGGAGGAGGAAGACGCCCGACGTAGTCCGGCCAAAGAAAGGCGGAGACCAGTTTTTAGTACCCGTTGGCTCATGTGGGTCTAGCGACCCAGGCGAGCCAACCTAGCAAGCTAGGTTAGCCATAAAATTATGAGATAGCCACAAAATTATAAGATAGCCCGGGGCCTTATTTCCCCCCTTAAGAAGCTACCTTTTTTAGTCTCTTAGTTTTAGAAGCTATCTAAAGTAATTTATAAAGATATAAAAGAGTAAATTAAAGCTATTAGCGATGCCTAATATAATAATATTAATAATATTAATTATAGCTATAATAAAAGCTACCGCCTAAGCCTCTAAGGCTATTACCTTCTTAGATAATTCCTTATATAAATTTAGCTATAAGAATATCTTTTTAGCCCTCTAGGCTAGCTTCTTATATAGCCTTTACTTATATAATAATACTTATAATCTTTTATATCCCTAATATATAATATTAAGGCTATATTAGGCATAGTATAGAGGGAAATTTAAGTAATAAAGATAGTAGCTATAGCGGCGAGGGTATAATTAGCGGTAATAAAGGTATTTATAATAAAAGCTTAAATAAAGAGAATTTTTTGTTATTTTTTTTTTTTTTTTTTTTCTTTAATAAAAGCTAAATTAAGCTAAAAAGTAATATTATTATTATTTCTTATAAAAGTAATTTAATCTATTATACTAAGAGGTTTTAAAGTAAAACTAATATTATAAATAGCTTTATAGATTTCTTATAGTAATTAGGTATTTATTATAAAAAGGTTAAGCTTTTAGTTAAATATTTAATATGTAATTAAGTATTATATTTTTATAAAATAATACTTAATATTTTTCTTTATATACTTTAATTACTAAGCTTATAATATTTTTTTCTTTATATTATTAATAATAATTTCTTTTTCTTATTATTATTAATATAATAATTATAGGATTCCTAAGGGATAAACCGGTCATATAGGTTTATATTAGTAGAGGAGAATATTATATAGCCTTAAAGGGTAATATAAGTTATATCTAGTAATATACTTAAAGGTATTAAATATAACTAAGTTATATTAATAGCTAAGGTAACTAATATATAAGAAAGTATTAATAAATATATTTTATATACTTTATATAATAATAGTAATTATTGTATTCTTAGATCTTACTTAAGGTAATTATTTAAGTAATTAGAATAATTAAATAAGTAATTACTATAATTATTATAGTATTAAGAGTAATTACTTATTTAATTAGTAGGGAATAATAGGGTTTATCTTATATATATAATAATATTTATTAGGTTATAATATAATATCTCCCCTTTATTAATCTTATCCCTAAGGCCTATAAAGTTAGTTATTCCTAATTCTCCCTTAGTTTATAAAACTTTTCTTTTCTAAATATTTTTTATAATACTAATAATATATTAAAAATAAAATCTTATTCTACTATATATCGCTATTATTTTTTTAAACTTATTAAGGAAATAAGTTTTAAAGTTATACCTTATTTTTATTATTCCTAGAAGTACTTAAAATATAAGATACTTAAGGGTATTTCTTATTATTCTAAGTATATCTATTATAGCCGCGCTTATAATAGCTTAGGTATATTAGTTTCCGCTAATAAATATAATTTTCTTTATATTTATTATTTTTCTTATTAATATTTATATAGTATCGCGCCTAATAGTAAAGAAGTATTATCTAGAGCTAGAAGAGGAGAGGGTAAAGAAAGAGCTAATTACCTTTTAGTAATAAATAAATAAATACTTATCTTATCTAATATATCTTCGCTATTAAAAGAAATAAATCTATAAGTAAGGCATAGAGATAATATATTAGGGTTTAAACTCTTTAGATATACTAAAGAAATTAAATTATTAAGAGGCTAAAGCTATAATTAATATATAGTCTTTCGGGGCTATTAATATTATTAATTAATTAGTTATTCTTAACTTTAATATTAATTCCCTTCTTTTTAGTATTATTAATAGAAATCCTATAATAAGTATTATATATTAATAAGGTATTCTAAGGGTTTTTATATATTTTCTAAGTTTAAGTAATCCTTCTATTTAATATAATATATTATTTTATTATTAATTTTATCTATATTAAGAATAGCTTTTATAATATATTCTTTTAATTTATTAACTTTTATATTAGGTTTATTATTTATTTTTATCTAAATAATATCCTATATTAATTTAAGTAATAAGATATAAAAGATTAGATAAAGCTTAACTTTAAGTAATAAGTCTAATTTATAATTATATTTAGAGATTTTCTTTTTAATTTTATAAGGTCTAATATATTTATAATTAAGTTTTTTATTTTATTATTTTATTTTAATATTTTTTATTATAAGGTAAATTATATCTCTCTCTGAGAAGGTTAGTCTCTTAATCTATTTTTTACTAATATAATTTATTATTTTATTCCTAATAAATTCAAGTTTTATATATATTTCCTTATATAGATTATATAGCTAATTACTAATAAGGATTACTTTAAGGTTAATAATAATATTTTATAATTATTAATAAGTATCTAATATAAATCTAAAATTAATATAAGCTAATATAATCTTTATATTTTTATTTATAGCTATATTATAGGCTAGCTAGATAGCTAATAGCTTTTTGACTTAATTAATTTATTTATAATTAATATAATATTAAAGGTGTTATTTTAATATTTAATTTATTTATTTTATTTATCTATTTATCTCCTTATAATAAGCTATAAAGAGCTTATAATTAATTCCTAAGTATCCTATAAGGCTTTACTAAAACTTAGATATAAATAATAATCCTTAATTAATAATAATCTTAAGTAATATATTATATATCTTAGTAA